CTTTCTCATAAACAAGCTGAATCTCTTAAGGATTTCAATTTCCCAGTTTCCGGTTTTGTTATCGGCTTCTTGTTTGTTAAAAGTATCAAACTACTTCAAAGGCAATGGCATCTGTGGGAAGAAGCAGAACTTGCATTCTCGAAGCAAGCTGTAGCTGGGCATTTTCATAGTACTTAAATCACAAACATAAAGCAGAAAGTGCCACTTCAAGAAAATTAAAGAATCGTAGAGTCTGAGAATGCTCCACTCTGCAAGCGGAACAACACATTAGGAAAGAGACCTTGTAGAGCATTAGCCCATCAAGCAGTGCAGCCACACCGAAAGGCTCCTTATGTCTTCCTTTTTATGGCCTCATTTCTTGCAAGGGTAGGCTACACTTTCTGTTGCAATTTTACCCTGATTTCATAATCTAAGTCATTCTTTCTGGCTACCGCTGCCTAACCTGGCTCCCCATTCCCCAACTGCTTCAACAACACACTAACGACCTGCCAGTTAAAATGAAGAACTCCATCAGCCCGTGTTTGACACTTCCAGGCTTCTTTTCCCTACCTTCAGCTAGCTCTCTTTGGTGTCTATAGATTGCTCTGCTTCCTGTTTTCCAAGCTCCTGCAAGAGGGAGAGGGTGTTCCCTTAGGACTGACCTTCCTACCCCTCTACTTATCTTCACCTCTTAGTGGATCAGCTCTCTGCCTCTCTAATGCCCCCAAACCCAAACCTTGTCCCACTTGGAACCAGCCCATCCATGTCCACTCAAAGTGATAACTACTCTACATATCTTGGGTACTTACTGCAAGCTCCACAAAACCAGTGCTAAACTCATTTGCCTCCCAAACTGCAGCTCCATCCTGTGGTCTCATTGGTAACAAGATAGCACCTTCTATCCTAGCCAGAAATCTGATTGATGAACTTTGTTTGAGACTGTCTTCCCTACCTCACCTCCCCAAATGGACACACTTTCAGTTGTACCTCCCAGCCATAGTCAAAATCTTTCTCCATTCCATCCCACCACTGCTGAAATTCATATGCTATCATCTCTCCATTATCCTTAATCATTCTCCAGCCTCCAAACTTGTCCCCTCTAACAATGCATCCCCTTCCTACTGCAGATGGCTTCTTGGTTGGGGCAGGAGCTGGTGTCCACTTTCCCCATCTGGCTTGAATCTGCAGGCCAACTATGCTGCCACAGTCTGAGTGCATATGTAATGCAATCACTTTTGAATCATTGCTGCTCTTGTAATACCAACAAAACCCATTGGTTCTTGGAGTGTGGTGGCACACACCTTTAATCCCAGCAGAAATCTATGTATTAGAGCCCAATAGAGATCCCCTAGCAAGTTCCAGGCTAGACAAGGCTACATAGCAAAATCTTGTCTCAGAGAGTAAGAGAGAGAGAGACAGAACTTATTGGTTCACCACCAAGTTGGACTTCAGCAATTGATACTTTGGTCTGTAGTGGGTTCCCCTTCTGGGTTGAGTAGTCGTATATGTTACATCTCTCATGAAAACTCTCTCTTGTGTTTACTTTTGGTAAACAGGTACAATGTTAAGAGGCTAAACAACACAGCCCAGCACTTAAATTAGAAGATACTGTCTTAGAATATATGATTGCCCAATGGTTTCCTTAGGGTACATATTAAATATAAGATTTCTAAGCCAGAGGGCATGCAACCCTGAAGGCAGGGTTTAAATGACTCCATAAAACCCAGGATAAATGATAAACAGGTATTTATTACAGAAGCAACCCAAGAGAACAAGCCAGTCCCTCCTCTTCCTTATAAGGAGTCAAATCTGCACCTGAAGCCACGCCCCTTGAATGTGGCCACCACTGCAAGTTCACCGGCAAAGCAAGATGCCACTACACAGCCCACCAACTCTTTTTGGGTCTTTTTATTTGAATTACCATTTATCCTCCAAACAGGTTAGTTATTCCATTTACTTTTTATTTTTCACATCATTTTTTTTTTAAGAAGGAAGGGAGGGAGGGAGGGAGGGAGGGAGGGAAGAAGGAAGGAAGGAAGGAAGGAAGGAAGGAAGGAAGGAAGGAAGGAAAGTTTTTGTACATACATTGTGCTAGGCACTGTGGATACATTCAGTAACAAACCAGACAATGTCCCTGCTCTCATGGAGCTGACAATCTAAGGAGAAAACACACCACCCCAAACTCACACAGCCACAAATTCCTCACAAATTGGCTAAGAAGGCCAAGTAGGAGGTTTTCAAAGTTCCTAGACATCAATCAAGGATTACACCTGGCCTGAGTGGTCTGGAGGAGTTTCTGTATGGAACAATGGTTCTGGGCTGGAACAATGGTTTTTGTTAAAATCAGGCGAAACCTGGTTAGAGTGTGTACTAAAGAACACACTGTAGGAGAAGGAAATAGCACTGGACAAATCCAGTGAGAGGGGCGGGCACACGACCCATTTTACAAACACATCAAAGGTCCCTACAGCTTGTATGTAGACACAGTGGAAAGGACAAGGCCAGCTCACAGAGCCAGCCAGCACACACAGCAAGGTTAACTTCATACTTGAACTGTGCATACTTGAATAACAAGCGCATAATGGCATAACAAGTGATAAATCCAAAAGAAAAGGAATGCATTTTCAAGCACTTTCTGCACTTTTTAAAAGATTCAGCCTTATTATAATTGTGTGTGTGCCTGCACATGTGTGTGCTCTCACATGTGCAAAAGCCTTGGTATGCAAAAGCCTGGGGAGACCAGAAGAAGGTGCTGGATCCCTTGGAGCTGGAGTTACAGATGACTGTGAGCTGTCTACCCTGTGTGGAGGCTGGGAACTGAACTGGGGTACTCTTGAACAGGAGGAAATGTTCTTAGGCACTGTCATCTCTCCAGCCCCTCAATGCCAAAGCTTTAAGCATACATATGACGCTTTGCACCACACATACCCTATAAATTATTCAATGAGACTGTACTTAGGACATTTTCTTATTGCATCTTTGAGTTCTGGAGATCAACTTCCACAGAAAAATTGTAATCAGCATTGACATGTTTTAAAATTATAATAAAGACATAAAGTATAATTTCTGCACTGGTTTTAGGTACCTATGTGCATAAGTAGCCAACATAAATTGCAAGACACTTTTATTGTCTTTAAGAGAAAAAAAAAATCTTCAGAAAGTTTGTACTACAAATTATGTCCCTGATAGGAAAAAACAAAACAAAAACAAAAAACAAAACAAAAAAAACAAACAAAAAACCTCCAAAGGACTGCCGCCCAGCAGCCAGCCATCATTAATGACACTTACAATCCCTGAGTGGAGAATATGAAACAATTGCATAACATTCTCTATGAAACAGTGCATGCCTGTGAAAGGGCCATCATTTATTCTGTATGTAACAGCCTTCTATACCACCCCTCATATTTTCTGGGGGTTTTTTCCCCTGTTATAAAAAAGGCTCATCTTGAGGATGCATGGACTAAAAACTACCCCAATAGAAAATGCAAACCATTAAGGCTGGCCCTTCTTAAAGCTCAATGAGTGTTCCAGACCAATTTTCTACACTGATCACTGTTGATTAGAATTCTGTAGTGACACATGTTACAAAAACCACAGGTTAAAATAGTCTGCATGAACACTTTCAGTAGGCGTATTTGAAATATAAGTATATTTTCTACACTATTATTTTTCTAAATGACTCTTTTGTTAAAAGAAAGAAAATCTTCATGAAGGTTTCCAATCAGTGGTGCATGCTGACCATTCTCAATTACCTGCAAAACATAATGCAAGAAATTACCAAAAGTGTGGAGGAGGGTGAAGCTCCATGTGATTTTCAAAATGAAAACTGTAACTTTTTAAGATATACAATGTAAACATTATCATTTTTATTGGGGTGGGGGTGCACAAGAGTTCAGGTGCCAGCATAAGTGGACCCTGGGTTCCCTGGAGCTGGCGAGATCAACATGGGTGCTAGGGACTGACCCCTGGGACTCTGTAAGGACAGTATACACTTTTAATCACTGAGCCAGCTCTGTAACCTTTCATTTCCAATTTTTTAACATGAAAAACAAGAGCACCACCCTGCTTTAAAACACACAGGCTGTTATACCACACTTCAACCTATTTAAGTCACAACACTTAATGTCAGATGATATGCATATTTACAAATAAATCTTCAAATCATAAGTTTGATGGCTAAAATCTTTAGAAATAACAGAAGATAGAATGTTTATCTTATAACCATCATGTTTATAAGTATAAAATACTAACAACCCCATACTACAGTCTTTAATCTGTTATGAAGGACTCTGAAAAAAAGCAAACAGCATACTGATATTAGGGTGTTAACTGGACATAGCCTAGAGTCACCAAGGACAGAATGTAATACACTGTTTAAATAAACTGAAGAGCTGCCTAGATCAGGCTGGCCTGTGGGCACACCTGTGGGCTACTGTCTTGATTGTTAACTGATGCAGTCCAGTGCACTGTGGACAGCATCACCTTGAGCTATACAAGTAAGGCAGGTGAGCACAAGCCAGTGAGAAGGACGCCACAGGCAGCATTCTGCCTCGGGCCCCTGCCCAGCCCCTCTCAATGATGGAGGAGATTGTACCTAGAATAAACAGTTTCCTCCCCAAGCTGTTTTTGGCCAGAGCATTGTATCCCAGCAACAGAATCAAAGTAGGACATGGGGCAGAATGAAAAGTTACCTTAACTACTTTTAAAAAGACAGAATGAAAGAACAGGCAGGCGGGTACAGAGCAGCACAGGACATGGGGCAAGGCCTTGCTCCACTAAACTCAAGTCCTACAGCCTGCACTGCACAGAAGACAACAAGCCCCCTTCTTTCATTCTTGCATTTCAGCCTACATGGTCATCTTAAATTTTCTGAAATTAGGAACAATTTTGTGGTGTTATTTCCAAACCTGTTAGCCCTTAAAAATCATGAAAACAACAAATATCTTTAAAGTCCAAACCTAACTTGAAATAAAGTACTCATAGTTAAAACTTTCAAGATACAACTATCTCCCTTTTAGTACTCACTCGGTATGAGAAAGCTTTAATTCTTCCCTTTGTTTCGCAGAATAATTTAGATTCCCACCTAAAATATAAATGAATACTCATTTTAAGCAAAATTTAAACATATATATATATATATATATATATATATACATATATATAGACATTTGCATAAAAAGTTATGAAAGAAAAACATATAATCACACTTTAACTTTAGCTTTGTATATTTGTTTGGAGTTATGCGTTGCTTCAGGTTTTTTTTTCAACTGAAACACTGTTAAATGTCAGTATAACTGAAAATTAAGAAAGATTAAAAGAAATCTAAATTTATTGTGTTATAGTCTCTTAAGTATAGAATGCCCTTTAGGGACAAGCAATTAGAAAGATTAATAAAAACTACATCAAATTATTATTAAAAAATTTAACAAATGCATATTAGCATCTACTAGTAAAAAATTGCTATTTCTACTTCTAAACCAAATATGTTCAACCTTGAAGTGAAATTTTATTTGCTTTTTAGTTTTTAGAAATGAGACTATATGGGGTTTAGGGGTTTTGCTAATATACACCTGAGATGAGACTATATGGGGTTTAGAGATTTTATATTATGAAACACTCATCTTATTAGGGATGAGGAAGCATAACATCAATTTTGATGGAAATCAAGGTTCAGAATGTGTGAATATTAACATGGAAATCACTAACACAAACTAAATAAAACACTAAACTAAATAAAATAAAGAAGACCCACTAGAGATGAAGACGTGAGAGCTGCTTACCTCGGGCACGATTCACCAAATACAGACAGACCACAGCTAAAAGTGACACTGAAAAACACAAGGCACACTTGTAAGTGACACCTACTCTGTAATCAAAATTAACACGCAAGCCAAATGTTTCCTTGTTGGTACACTGGTTTGAATAGGAATGGCCTCCACAGACTCCTGTGTTTGAAAGCTTGGCCCACAAGGAGTGGCACTATTAGAAGGTGTGGCCTTGTTGGAGTGTGTTTGGCCTTGTTGGAGGAAGTTTATCACTCCCAGACAGGCTTTGAGGTCTCATATACACAAGCTATGCCCAGTGTGGGACAGTTCACTTCCTGTTGCCTGGGGATCAATAGTAAAACTCTCAGCTCCTTCTTTACCACCATGTCTGCCAGCATATGGCCATGCTTCTGTAAGCCAGCCCCTTTTATAAAGGTTTTCCTTTATAAGAGTATCCATGATCATGGTGTCACTTCACAGCAAGAGGAACCATAAGATAATTGACATTTAAAAAACTTTATACGTTTTTTGTTTCGGAAAGCTCTCAAATGCTACAGTGTTTTCCCTACAGGGAATCACTGCTTCTTGGCTCAGGAATGACAGGGCTGACACTCCAGAGCAGGGAGGAAGGGAGCCGATACAATATAGACACAGACACAGACACAGACACAGACACAGACACACACACACACACACACACACACACACACACACACACACACACGACCTGCAATGACAGGACCAGAGACCAGCTAACACCCTACAGGAGAGAGGGAGACAGCACAGCCCCCCCCCCCCACACACACACACACACACACCTCCTCCTTCCTCCCTTCTCATCCCAGTACTCCTGGCAGCTTCTGGACAGTTTGTCATTACACAGAAGTCACAGAAGTAGCTCCCAGGGATTTCTCATCTGCGGATACCATGTGCCTTTATAAAAGAACAAATCAAAACTTCGCCTTAGGCCCTTTGCAGCCTGGTCTGTTTGTGAGACTCCTGGCGGGGGGACCAGGATCTATCCCTGTTGCATGAGCTGGCTTTTTGGAGCCCATTCCATATGGTGGCATGCCTTGTACAGCCTGGAGGGTTGTATAGCCCAGGAGGGGAGAGGGGGGCTTGGTCCTGCCTCAAGTGAATGTTCCAGGCTTTGTTGACTCCACATGGGAGGCCTTACTCTTTCTGATTGGGGAGGGGGTAGCGGGGAGCAGGAGGAGGGGAGAGAGGGGGAACTGTGGTTGGTATGTAAAATGAATAAAAAAAAATTTTTTAAAGATTCTTAAACCCATTAACCAATTTTAAAAAAGAAAAACAGTGGACAGGAAGTTGCAAGAGCTTGGAAATATGGAGGTGAGTATAGAGGACTTACGAGGGCAAGTAAGGGGGTGAAAATGATCAAAGTACAGTGAAATTCTCAAAGAATTAATAAAAAATAAAAAAAAAAAAAAAAAAAAAAACTTCACCCTTAACTTCTCACCCAGAGCCAGTTCAGAGACTACGAGGCAGACTTGGCTTGCTGCCCTTACTTGCTGGGGCACGCTGTTTATCTTATTTTAAATGAAATGGCAAAACCTATATGAACATTTTACTCTATATTATAAGAAATCAAATGCTGCCACACGGCATACTCACAAGAAACACAGGCAATGAAGAAAACCTCCAGAAGCAAGTATCCCCAAGAATCCAGTATCATGCCAGCAAGGATGGAAATGACGGCCAGCCCGAGGTTCTGAATGGACTGCATGCTAGGGTTTCAGGATAAGATAACACATGGTTCTCAAAAGTCTTCATACACAGGCCAGCATCACTATCAATATTAGCATCGTTAGCCACACACTACTGGTGTTAAAGAGTTTCAATCAGGGGCACATGGACAGACTTTGCTTTTCTGAGACAAGGAAACTATGCAGCTTTGGATGGCCTGGAATTCACTTTGTAGATCAAGCCTACCCCAAACTCAAGAAGATCTACCTGGCTCTGACTCCAGAGTGCTAGGATTAAAGGTGTGCACTACCACATCCAGCAGATTTTGGGTTTTATCCCAGACTCTTTCTAGTAGACCATAGGCTCCGAGGCAAGTGAAGTACAGAATGCCTACATGATGAATGAAAGGGAGAGCTACCTGCACAGCGGCCACAGGAGCAGCCACCACCCCCACCCCCACTTTGCCTTTGGGGCTGGAGTCACCCTCTCACTGAAAAGTGTTCTGATGGACAGGAATGGACATGTCTACAACTGCCTCCTGAGGATGCTAGCTTACTCCTTGCTGGGTGGCCAAGTGTAGCTACACTACCTTTGACTGAACTAAGAAGCACCTAACAGGAAAGCACTCTTCTAGGTGTGTCTGTGGGTCACACGTAGAGGAATGACTTCAGTGGGAAAAACCTAGAGGATAGAGGCCTGAAGAGAAAAAAAGGGTAGTGTGATGGATATTCTTGGTTGTCAACTTGACCATATCTAGAAGTAACTAAATCCAAACATTTGAAGAGTACACCATGAGGGGTTTTTGCTTAATTTGAAATGGGAAGAATCACTTCTAATCATGATCTTTGAGTGAAGACACACCTTTTATCCAGATCTTGAGGTGGGAAGACCCACCTCTAATCTGTGTCACACCTTCTGCTGGAAGCCTATATGAGGACATGGAAGAAGGAAGCTTTGCTCTTTGCCTGCTTGGTCTCAGCTCTGAAGCAAGTCTATTCCTTTGCTGACATTAGAAACTGTATCTTCTGGATTCTAGAATATACTGAAGACTAGCTGAGATATCCAGCCTCTTGGACTAAACAACTATTGGATTCTTGGACTTCCCGCTCATAGACAGCCATTGTTGGATTAGCTGGACTACAGCCTGTAATTCATTCCAATAAATATCTTTCTATATATAAAGATACATCCTATGAATTCTGTTACTCTAGAGAACCCTGAGTAATACAAGAGGAAAAGAAGAAAGGCCTCAGAGCAGGTATATAGGTAGGTAGGTAGGGGTGTGTGTGTGTGTGTGTGTGTGTGTGTGTGTGTGTGTGTGTGTGTGTGTGTGTGTGTGTGTGTGTGTGTGTGTGTGTGTGTGTGTGTGTCTGCTTCCTGGCTACCTAGATCAAACCTGCCTCACCATAAGTCCACAATCAATGGAGCCAAGAATTATGGGTAGAACTATCTAAAACCAGGAACTAAAACACTCCTTCATTGAGTTGTTTTCCTCAAATCACAATTAGAGACAGTGACCAGACACACCATGACAGTTGCTTAAATGTATTAACTTATGTTTCTAGCCATCTGCAGGTTCACAGTTGTCCCAGAACTCTGAGCATAACTAAAATTAGGACATGTGGGGCATTATAACTGACACAGCAAAAGGCAATATGTAGTAAAAACGCAATACTTACAATCCATATGCAGTTCCCAGCTGGTGCTCTGGAACTACAAATGCCACCATTGGCCACAATGCACAGGCAAGCAAAGAGTAGGAGAGTCCCAGGAGACACTAGACAGGAAGGCAGAGGGGTACAGTATACATCAGGTGCAGGTGAATTTCCCTGATAAGGACTAGTGAAAGTGACATACTAGCTAAACCAAAATGTAAATGTCTTACTGTAATTAGACTAAAATTTTAAATGCTTGGGACTCAATGCCCTTCATTGCTTTAACCATTTTCACCAGCAATGTAAACTGTCTGGGCCCACTGTGCCGTCAAGAGCAGGGATAATTTGCAAAACAAGTTCTTACCCACGTGTCACTCATGGCATTTACCTGATCTTCCTTAATTACAGATGAAGTAATCAAGGCAGCAGAGTGACGGCATTATTCTACTGCTGCCTCTCCAGGACCAATTCTGAACTGAAAAGCAGAGCAGGGAACCACCCGCCTTCACCACCACTTGTCAGACACTATGTGACAATTAAAAATAAGGGAACCTGCCTAACATGGTGGCAGCATGCCTGCAGATGTAGAACTGTGAGTGCAAAGCCAGTCTAGCCTACACAGCAAATTTGGAATTCATTCTAGCTGTGTATAGCAAAAGTGTGCCTCAATTTTTAAGGAGGAGGAGGAGGGGGAGGAAAGAAAGAAAAAGTAAAATTTGAATTTAAATTAAGTATTACATGTACCCATCAGACTGGTAAATATAAAAACAATGCTGACACCCAACACCAGCAAGGAAAATTTACACTGCTGGCACAGTTACAGATAAGGAAGCAGTCCCCAAGCATCACAGCGTAAGATGTCTCTGTGCAAAGCCTCTACAGCAGCACACCTACCCCTGACATTTGGATGTCCCTACAGGAAGACTTCTGTGGAACTTTCCACCAAGGCCGTAAGACCTGTGCTCAAGATGCTCCTCTATGAACGGGTAAGAGACACAGCACTTCAGCCCACACTCTGAAAACTCACACAATGAAGACAGCAAAAACTTCACAGACTTACTGCCACGGTTTAAACCCTACTGAGAGTCGAAGACAAAAGAATGGCTACTGGGCCAAAGGACTGGTTACTTTCAATGAAATGACTTATTTTAATGAAGCTAGGGGAAATAAATGGAAGTAAATAGCTTTCCAGTCACGAGACTATTTTATTTCAAATTCTACTTTAAATTTGAAGCTTCCTTACTAAATAAGTTGAATGGAAAACAATCCTTATACATTAATAAATTGATGATTCCTCTTTTAAAAACAATGTTTACTTTGTCAAAATTAACATCCAGTCTCTATCCCCTCGGCACTGCCAGCTGGGTTTGCTGGCCTTGAGATTCTCCCTGAAGCCACAAGCATCCTCCCTAAACATTACCATAGCAATCCAGGGGTTCCAAAAGGTGAAGGCCAGCATCATATGAGATATGAGGGTGGCAGCTACTGCACACAGGACCCAGATGACATTCTTTCCAGTTTTATCCACCAGGAGTCCAAACACTGGAGACATGGGAGCTGATATGACATATACAACGCTGCCCAGAAAGTATAACACGTTAGTAGAATGTAGCACGGCTTCTCCGAAACTACCAGATTTAGCAAGCCTAACTCTTTTAATTTACCACTTTTCTAAAATAGAAATATAAAAATCAATCTGAAAATTCTTTGTTTCTTGGTCCCCCCCCCCTTTAATTCGAAGCCAGGCCCCTGGGGTTGAGGAGTGTGCATTGTTGAGGGGCTGTGGTCACACATTATTTGTGGCCTTTCATGCATGGGCTATGTTTATGAACACCCCATATATCACATGCAACAAGAATTACACCAAATACCTGTTAATTGCACTTGCTGACTGGGAAGAAAATCCAAATTTCTCTATGAAGAAAACTCTAAAATTAAAAAGGAAAGTGTGTACATTAGGAAGAACTACTTTGTTTTCAAGAAATAAAGACAAGTTTAAAAAAAAAAAAAAAAACTCTAATGTCTAATAAGCTTTTCTTTCCAGATAATATTTTTCCACCTTTATTTCTTAAATAATCTGCTGCATCCCAAGTACTCATGGAACTATCTCCCTGACTACACTAGGATTGGTCCACACATTTTCAGAACACCAAATTAAAAGCAGAACTCCTTTACTATGTAATAAATGGACTTCTTGTCACATACTGACTATGTTGTTTTAAAGATTGTAAAGACGACAAAACACATTTGCACTCCCACACTGTGGCAGCCAAAGAATGAGGCGAAATGTGACAAAGCAAGCAAGAACCTGCCTCGATCTAAGTCTGGAAGAACTAGCCTGAAGTGGACACAAGCCAATGCACAGCTTCCACTCATAGTAAGCAGTCTCCTGATCCAAGAACAGAAAGAAAATTTTGAAGTATTTCTTCAAGAGAATAATGAAAGTATTAAAACCATGCTGAACCTAGAGCTGTCAATACCCACTGTGTCCCAGAACATAATTAGTCTAAATACACACTGTGTCCAGAGTAGCAAAATTAACTACATAAAGTACCCACACATTGATGTGACTTGGCTCTCATTGTAACTTACAGGTGGAAGAGGAGAATACTCACTTGCCCAGCCCAATGAAAGGGAATACTGCTACATAGTAACAGACACAGATGATGAAGACCAGCCACAGGGGCAAAGAGAAGTGCTTTATGTCAGTCAGCTTAATGACTTCACCTGGAGAAAGGGAAGACGCATAATTTCATGAAACCTAAGGATCTTTCTTCTATATTCATCATTTTTATTCACATAATTAAAATTCTTTTCTAGAAAATTCCACAAATAACATCTCCAAGATAACTCACCTAGTAATAGGAGGAAACAAAAAAACAAAAAACCAAAAACACAAAGAAATAAAACAGAAATTACAGTTGTTCCTTTCTATGGGAACTAAAATCAATTCACTAATATACAAAGCAAAATCAAGAATGTACATTCTGTCAGAAACAGAGGAATACATACAAAAATTTAGATAAGCAGAAATGAATCTGGAAATATAAAATAAACATTCGGTATGTGTTTATGCTACTGTAAATTATCTTTAAAGAGTCCCTATGTCCCCCTCTTCTGTCACGCTGGCATACCTGTTTTTCCTTGTTCTTTATGAAGGATTTTCTCTGCTCTCCGATCCAAATAAGCAAGGACCAAGGCACAGATTAGTGAAAGAATGCACGTCACACCCCCTAAATAAAGGAGAGAGATTTGAGAAGAGCCCAAGGGCTGGGGAAAGCAGCAGTAGGGCTACCGAGGAAAGTCATCGAGAGTCAGGGCTAACAAAAGCCTCCCAGTGTCAAACATACACAGAAGAGGAACAGAATGGCAGACGCCCAGCAAGCAGAGGTCACTTTTATCACAGTTACTTCTCAACAGAAGATTGGAATTAGAGGGAAAATAAATACTGGAACAAAACAGTCTCTTCTTGTAGAGACTGGGCAGAGCAGATGGCTCTCTATGGGGAGGTGAAGAAAGGCCGACCCTCAGAGCTCACTGGCCAGCCAGGCCAGCCTCAACTGGAGCAGCGAGCTTGAATTTCAGTGAGAGACCTTGTCTCCAAAGGTGGAGAGTGATTGTGGAAACACCTAACATTGACCTCTGGCCTCTGCATGTATGAAACATGTTCACCTCATGTGTATGTATATGTGCACAGAACAATGTGGACACACACATACATCACAGAAAGAAAGAGACGGGGAGGGATTTTTATCTGACCAGGACACTATGTACATTCCAATCCACAGACAGCAGAGGCCATGGGTTCTGCTGCTGCCACTGTCCAGGTGATGGTTCTGAACACAAACTTGGACTCTCTAAGGCTCACTCCTCATGGATAAAATGAAAGGCTTTGATTTGATGATGGCAAGTGCTTTTCTACCTCTGAAATTCTTTAAAATTCTGCATGTGGAGAAAACTACATGGAACGCTGAAGAGCACCCGACAGTATTTTAACTCGGACAAAGCATTTGAGGAGGGCCTGGGAGAAGGTAGTCTTGAGATAGGATTCCCATTAGCATCATCCCTCTGCTACCCTCTTTAACTGTGCCCATCAAGCAATTACAAACAGTAAAAGATAAGCACGTCTAAGCCTTCACCCTACTGCTCCATAAGCCACTGGAGAAGCCAGTGATAGCTGGGACCCCGCCTCACAGTCTGAAAGCAGCCACATCTCTTCAGTGTCCTGGCTGAGCCAGAGCAAAAGGGCCCCAGTCTCTCTCCTGCTGTCTATGACATGAGCTCACCTGGATACACTCTCTGGCTGCCCTCACTTCACACACAGTCTCTGAACATACAATATACAAATAAGAGCACTGAGGTACACAAGGGAAACTCCGATCCTCCTTCAGAGGTGGAAATTAGAGTAAACAAGGTATAGCATTGTCTATTTCTACACAGTCAAAAGAACTATGGAGGCAAAATCAAAACCCACAAACAGAGAAGTCTGGCATCGAGACTAGAGCTCTTTCTTCTTGGCACAGCATCTCCTGTGGTGGGCCTTCAAAGGACAAAACCTGAGACGCAGGGGTTCACTCACCAATCATGAGTGTCACTCCCAGGGTCATGTGGCCAGCTGAACCCAGCAAAGCTTCAATCCTAGTATACAGCCATCCCATGAGGTTCATATTCACTGTGCTTCCCTAGGGAAGCATAAAACAACAGGTTTCTCAATTATTAACACTCTTGGGGGAGGGTTTGCTTACTCACTTACAGTATCTTAGTACAGTGTAACCAGAATCCAGGATAATGTGTATTACACTGAGGTGGGAAGACACACCTTTAATCCAGATCTTTGGAGGCGGAAGACCCATCTCTAACCTACACGACAACTTCTGCTGGAAGTCTATATAAGGACATGGAAGAAGGAAACTTTTGCTCTTTGCCTGCTTGCTCACTCTTTGTTTTCAAGTTAATCCTTCACTGGCATTAGAGATTCCAGCATATACTAAAGACCTGCTGAGACATCCAGCCTCGTGTACTGAATAACTACTGGATACTTGCACTTTCTGTTCATATAGAGCCACTGTTGGATTAGCTGTACCACAGCCTGTAAGTTATTCTAATAAATTCTTTCTCTCTAGATAGAGATTCACTCTATATATATTCTAGAGAACCCTGATTTGAGTGTGCTATGAGGCTTCATAAGACTTGTGTCATTTCTGGAGTGCTTTCTTTTCCTCCTACGTTCAGATCAAGATGTGAGCTTTCCACCGTACCTGAAAACATGCTTTTTATCTATCATCATGGGCTCTAATTCATAACCCCACTTAAAACCTAAGCCCAATTAAACGCTTTCATTTATAAATTGCCTTTGTCATGGTCATGATGTTGTTACAGCAATTGAAAAGTAATTAAGACGGGGGGGGGGGGCTGGAGGTGAGAGGACTTGTGACCCTGGGTAAGCCTTACTGTACGGTCTTAAAAAGCAACTCTGGCTGACTGACCTGGCTATTGTCTTTTAATTGGACCACAGAGGCACAAACAAGGTGGCAGTAGTCACCCTCTAGCAATAGGCCAAAACAAGAAAGATGACTATGAGGTCAGGCTGCTGGAAGTATGGTAAGATATGCTTGGAATATCCATGTTTTGTTGATACAGCCAATAGGATTGGCTAACAAAAAGGGAAGAGGTGGGACTCAGGAGGCACCACATGAAGAGAGTTGCCCTTGCTAAGGAGGAGAAACTTCTAATAAGAGCTGGTCTGAGGAATGGTGGGAAGAATATGAAGAATTAGGTAATGGGTAAGTTCAGTTGAGCGTGTGAATCAGGAATTGAGGAGAAAAGCCTAGACAGAGACAGCCATGGGAAAACACTGAATAGGTGATTGCCTGTGTAAATGGAGAATCCAAGAGAAAGGCCAGACAAGCGACACAAACTCAGAAGCAAGGCAATGCAATTCAAAACTGCAAAACTAGGTCAGACCTTGAGAGCTGTGAATACTGATCAAACATTGCCCCCCATCTTTACAACCATGAGGAGATGGACAGGGGAATCTGACAGAAAGGCAGGAGACATGAAAGGGGCCTGAATCTCAAGGAAGTACCATTGCTCCACTGCGAAATAAAGCAAACTTCCTAACAGACTCAGTCAGACACTCCTCAAAGGCAGGGATGCTGCTGTCATGGCACCTGACTTAGTGCTTGCTGAAATAGTAAACCTAAAAGTAACAGATTACAAAAGAATACTCAACTCCCCAACCATGGATGGGATGGGATTCTTAGAATACCTAACTACCTTACAGGATGCATTCAGCAAATTGAAGGCTTGTCTCCTGGGTACCCTCCCCTAAGACACAATATGAAACACCAACATCACTTCTAGTTCTCAACACCGAGAATACTAGCAGACAGAGCTGAGTCCAGTGGAGTGTGAGCATCATGGCGAGGCAGATGAAATCTCCTGCCAAATGGGTTAGATGACCACGAGAAATAAACATCTCTGATCAAGAACTGAAGAGCCACTGATGTTTTAGAGCTTGGCAAACAAAGTAAAAATTAATGCTGAAGGCAGAACACTGGGGACAGTCAGGGTAAGTCCTCGATGGGAAAAGGTTTCATCTGTGTGAATCTGAGCTTCAAAAGTTTGTGGTGGCACATGCCTTTACACCCAGCACTCCAAAGGCAGCAGCAAGCAGTGAGTTCAAGGCCAGCTTGAGCTGTTCCAGGCTAGCCAGGCCTCCATAGTAAGAAGAAAGGAAGAAAAAGTTAACTAATGGAGAATAGGCTACTCCCCACAGAATGAAATGTGCACATAGACAAATAGAACCTGGATGGATGGCTGTAGAGACTTTTGAGGACAAAATGGTGAGAAATTAGCCTAGCTATTCAGACTCTTTGAACTAATGATCACTTTGCTGTCTCGCACTACTTGTGAATGCTTTATGGAAGACAAAGTGTGGTGGTTTGAATAGATATGGCCCCCAGACTCATGTGTTTGAGTGTTTGGCCCATGTGAAAGAGTGTCATTATTAAGAGGTGTGGCCTTGCTGGAGTATGTTGGCCTTGCTGGAAGAAGTGTGTCACTGTGGGGGCGGCTTTGAGGTCTCCTATGCTCAAGCTACTAGCTACTCCTAGTGTGGGACACAGACTCTTTCCACTGCCTGTAGATCAAGATGTAGAACTCTCAGCCCTTTCTCCAGCACCACATCTGCCTGAATGCTGCCAAGTCCATGATGATGATGGACTAAACCTCTGAAACTGTAAGCTAGTCCCACTAAAATGTTTTCCTTTAGAAGAGTTGCCATGGTCATGGTGTCTCTTCACAGCAATAAAACACACAAAATAAATGTCATTTTAAGTCCTAAAGAAATACATAAAAACAGAGGCTAAAGAAGTAGCTCCATGGTTAGAGTGCTTGCTGTGCAACCAGAGAGACAAGCGTTCGGATTACAGCACCCATGTAACAAGCCAGTGTCTCCTGCATGCCTAATAACACAGCTCTGAGGAAACAGGAGACAGGAGCTTGGTGGCTTCCACCCTGAATGAGAAACTGCCTCAAATGGACAGGCAGAGAGTGATAGAGTGTGACAGAGAGTGACATCCACTGCCCTCTTCTGAAATCTGCATGCAGAGGCACCTACACACACACACACACACACACACACACACACACACACACACACACACACACACACGTTATTTTTGAAAGTGATATATGAAAACCAATGCCTACTTCTTCACATCCAAGAGTGTCCTGGCATACTTCTTTCTAAGACTTTAAAGAAGTAATTTGCTTCCTATTGGGCCCCACTAGATCTGTCACCATACTTACAATTCTGGCCATGCTGAGTTGGAGTCCAAACACCAGGTTTAATTCTTTGCCTTTAAACCAACTCACAGCATATGTGTTCTGGGCAACTGCTAAGGACTCTCCCCCAATCCTAAATATGGGAGAAGAAAGGTTAAAGCTTTGAAAGAAATCCCACTTAGCAATTTTGACATTCCCCCACAAAAGAAGTAGGATTTCTGCCTCCTCTTGAATGGAGGAAAGCTTGAGTGCTTCAGACAATGTGAATACTGATAGCCATAAACATCCCAAAGATGGCATCTGCCACTTCAGTGCAACACTCACAGCTGCAGTCCTAAGTTACTTTGTATAAAAGGTAACAACCCCCATGCTACAGGAAAGCAAGCCATACAATTGAAAATAAACTTGCTCTTCAAAGCACCTATTCCAAGTATCCAACATGCAAAACAGCAAGCTTCCAGATGATTCCAGCCTCCAATGAATCTCAGCAGCAGAGATCCCAGACATCAGGACACAGACAACCTATCCACATACTCTACATTGCCTCAAACTGTAAACAAAATACAATTACTATTTTCTATTGGGATGTGTTGGAGTGATTTGACAAGGTAAGTTAGCAATCATGACAAGCAATGAAAGGAACCCAGCCTCTACACCATCTGTCCACACAAAACACTGATACAGGAGAGTGTCTTTCATTCACATTTTGTAAACATGAAATCTCACTTTTCAGGCCAATATGCAAAGCTCTTGCATTGTCAGCATTCTTCTACTTCTTGGGTTCTAATGTTCTTTCACTTTGTTCCATATATTTACCACTACCCATTGAGACCCATTTCAAAGCTTTGTGTCCTCCACATCCTAAAAATAAGTCCTGCCATAGCTATGTCTCAGTCCAAAGGTTTCCTCCTTCTTATCTACAAATCAGTTTCCACACTTCTTTCTACATTCTCCCACTTCATCCATGTGGCCATTTTTAACCACATTTTTGTTCCAGAATCCCTTTCATGTTCTTACATACATTTTATTCCCTTCAGGGATATACCACATCTATCCACATGCCGTTGGTGCCTCTGAAAAAAGACTTCATTCTGTCAACTGTATCCCTCAAGGTAGGAGGTAGGAAGCCCACGTCTTGACTCGGATCAGGGATGGGGCAGTTAACCTAGAGATACTGTGCTACTTCAAGACATCTGAACAGTGAGCAGAAAGATACACACTCCACTCACTAAGGAAGAGAAAGATGTCCAGAGTAACCAGCCTAGAAACTGGTGGCCCATATGTTTGTGGATGAGATTTAAATCAGTCTTCACTATTGTGAAGTTTTAAAAACCCAGGAAAAGAATCATTTCTGAAAAAGCTTATTATATCCAACTCTACAGTTAACCATGGTCATGCAAAACACATCTTAGTTAAAACAAGTAACTAAGAAGCACACTTATGTAATAGGCCACATTCCAACAAAGATTTGAAATAATTCCTCATTGTCAGAACTTGGTCCAAGAGTGGAGTCATGAAAGAAGAATTCTGAGAGCTTGTAAGAAAACTCCAAGAAAACAAGACAAGAGTCTTGTGACCTCAGTTTCTTCAAAAGCACAAAAATGTTCTTGGAATGTGCTCTCATTCCCTCTCAGGTATGGCAGATAGGAGTGAGCTTACTTCATTACAACTGGCTACCGCTGCTTATACATCTCTATGGAAAAACATGTTTTGGCCACATGCAGCTTGTCAGCCATTTGAAGCTTGTCCTTCTGATTGTTCACTTTACTCACTCATGTAACTCCTCTTAACCCTCAGAGAACAAATTGTCTGATGCTCTGAATAAAGTTGACTACTGCATGACACTTTAGTCTGCCCATTTATAGGCTCCATTCTCTCAGACCCCACCATCTGTCTTTAGAGCAGTAAACACCTCACATGAGATAATGATGTATTTCTTTTAAATCCTTAAGGAAAGACTAGTAGTCTGGGTCAGTGGATAGGTTGGAATATGAAAGGCCCTGGCTTCATCAAAAATATCCTTAATAAACATGTTAAGATAACATGAAATTATGGTATAACTTACCCAAACACAAACCTCCCGAGCTCCATGAGCCAAAAAGCATTAAATATTCCACCCAGAGCAAAAATAACCTGTAAACAGTAATAGAAAAATAAATTCAGTGTATTTGAAAGGAATAAGTAGCATGACAAATCCTCATTCTCACAATAACTTTACTAGCCTACACTAGTAAATCTTAGAAATTAAAATATTAATACTCATGCATTTAGCAGGAGGAATAATCACCAGAAGACAAGCTTCCAGCATGGCTGTGGGGGATCTTCTGGGTTACATTAACCCCCACACACACACAGATACCCACCCGAATGGCTCCGTTCTAAGAGCTGGAAAGGAGAAAACAAGCTCCCTCACTTTCTGTTTCCTGACTGCTGACACTGTGTGACCAGTGGCTTCATTCCCCCGCCAACATGTCTTCCCCTCAAACTACTGGCCAGAATTTCATTCCCCCGCTAAGAGGCCAGAATTTCATTCCCCTGCTAAGAGGCCAGAATTTTATTCCCCCGCTAAGAAGCCTTCCCCTCAAACTGCTAGCCAGAATAAAGCCTTCTCCCTCCTAAGTGGCTTCTGAAAATCACAACAACAAATAAGCATGTAATTCAAGGCTTAAAATAAATTATAACACATGGCCATTCACGAATCTGATTAATCAAGTTGATCATTCATTAAACGTACTTTTGCTAGGGGAAATAAATAAGACTTCAAAGCCACTGTCAAGGAATAAATAATTCAACCTTTCTTACCTGTCCAATGCAAACAAAGCAGCTAAAAATAACTGTGCCCCATCTGTGTGAGAGAGAAAATGGCATTTCTTCATATTGCTGTTGGCAATCCCAAAGCCCTATACTAATCATCTGTTTGGGTGTTCTTTGCCCACTCTGCATTCCCAAAAAATGAATGTTCTAACTTTCCTAAACCAAACACTAATTTCTGACAGGATTCCAAAGGTTCAGCAATGGCATAGGTTCATTTATATCATTATCACCCCTTAAAACCTACACAATCCGGGCTGGAGAATAAGCAAGTTGCTCCTCCAAATAAGTGGAATCAGTTTCCCTGAAACTCAGCTAATTCTATTGCTTGGAACCCAGCAAAATATATTTAACACTTCCTTCATACTTAACTATTTAAGATTCTTAAAAACAAACCCCCAAACTGAAGCACACATGCGTGCTTGCAATGCTCATCCCCCAGACACGTTTGAATCCATGTGAGCAGCATCACTCTGCCTTCTGAAGGAGGGCCCAGCTATGTTGTCTTCACTCACAACACAGCCAGTGAGAAAGATGTAAGGCAATGCTCACAGGACTATTCCTCTTCAGCATCTAATGTGCATGGCCACAAAAACTTCAAGGGCCAAAGAACAGCAGAAATAGACAGGGAAGACTTTTTTTTTGCAGTCAAAAATGTTTTTACATCCAGTGAATCAAAAAATATAATTCATTTTGAATAAGGAAACATAGAAATTTTAAAATCATACAGACAGCTACATGCTTATATTTTCAACATTATAGTAACCCATCATAAAGATAATTACCAAATACAAATACTTATTATATGCCACACTGTATTTTAATGTTAGTGAGGGGGAAGTCGTAAATCTTACCAGAGCTGGGGGATATATCAATACCTTTACATCTCCAACTCCCATTTAATCCCTGTGGATGCTTGTAAGGTAGGACTTGTTACCCTACTTAGCAATAAGGAAACAAGCTTAGGACAGTAGGGACTTGACCGAGTGGCATTGAGAGGGACTCACACCTGGTTCATCTGACCCAAATTAATCTCCAGAAACTGATGACCTTACTCCATCTGCAGCATTTCCTATGCCTGACCCTAACTGATCAACCAAGCCTCAAAGATTTAGCCTAGAGACAAAAAAAGTCCTCATGTCCACCATCAGTCAATTCACAAGTCTATTTAGTTCTTCAAAGAAAAACTTCACCTCATTCCTACATTCTTCTAATTACCAGTTAAATTTGCCCACAGTTAATTTTTCTGCAAGCTTACCGTATTCCAAATATTCGGTCTATCAAAAAGCCACCCAAGAAACACAAAATTACATTAGGCCAAGAATACCAGGAATACAGCAGCATGAATTTCGTAGTATTCACTTGCATGTCCTATATGGGAAGAAAACAAAACTTTTTTTCCAAATGGGTTTAGCAATTAGCAAATTAAAACAAAAAGTGGTTAAAGCTCTATGTCTGTACAGGATAAGTTTCTTAAGACTTTCATGGAAGCTACAGTCCTTGAACTCACAAGAACTGTCACACATGGGAATGTCTTAATTCTAAATACTATTCGGGCCTCAAGGACTCCAACACCAGTCACTGGTATGGGAGCCAACTTAGCCTGTTTCTATCTCCTACATCCTTATATCATTATTTCTGCCTGCATTATGGACTCCTTCCACACAGAAAAGAATCATCTTTGCCTAGTCTTACAGACCCTATTCCATTTTACTCCTACTAGAACACAGAAGGACAACCTGTGAACTTACCCTCTGCTCAGTGGATTAAAAAAGAAAATGCACAAAATAATGATCTAAATGCCCAAGAAACAACAAATATCAAATAAATTTTACAACTCAAAACCAGATTAAGAATGCTGATAGGAACAATACTCAGCAAACAGTATCCACATTTATAGAAGTAAATAACAAAAGAACTTATCTAAGAAGGCCAAAGCCATTCCACAAATCACTTATCCAAAGGAGTAGGCAACAGGAGTATAAAATCTCAACAAAAACTAGTATTTTTAGCAACACTGTAAACAGAGTTCACAATTATCTACCTAAAGAATAAAACTATCTGTCATATAAATCATTCATGAGTTCTTTGGGGAAACAAATTTGATCTCAAAAAGTCTGTAGCTATAGGTTTGCCGGCAACTCTAGAATAGAAAGTGGACATTTCAGATGGGGTACCCTGAGAACTCATGGTAGCTCAGCATCTATATGTCAGTGCTCCAAATCAAAGACACACAAGAATGTGGAAAATCAACTCACCCGTTTAACCTGAGTCTGAAGGGCAGCAGGACTGTCATAGCAAAAATAGCTACCTAGGGAAGAAAGAACACACGTTTCAAGAGTTTCCAGTTACAACTCGTAATTAGTAACTGCTCCAGAGTGTTTAAGGTTTACACTATTGCTGACACCACGGAAACGTTTTTTTAGACCACTTCCTTTATCTACCATCCAAAAGAACTTCCACTATTTAGCAATATGCATACCCAGCAAATACCAGTAATTAAGTCAACAGTGACTGCTTTTAACATTTTGTTTTCTTCACGCTTTTTGTGCTTATTGCTGTATTATTAATACCTTCAGGAAACAGCTTCATTGTCCTTATTTAAAGCCATCAACACTAAAAGATCTACATTCTCCACAGTTGCATGTTACCTGTCATCACTGTTCTTGAGAGCAGAATTAACTTCAACTATTTGAACCAAACCAGTATTTGAAATTCTGATCCCTCCAAACAAAATACTAAGTGAATACGATGCTAGAAACAAGAGAAACACAACGGCTAACGGATCAAATGAAAATACCACAATGTTCCTTGAGGTGTCAGAGACAGGAGTGGGGAGAGAGCTTTCATGCATGACCTGGAGATGTATCTCAAAGGTAACACACAGGCTTGAGGCCCCGCGAAAACACTGCCTGTTACCGCCCTGACTCTGCAGATACACAAAGCCACCAGTTCAAAGGAGGCAAGGTGACTAGAGAGCAGGGCTCTGGCTTCTCAAACCCAAACGTTTAGCCATCTACCTACCAAAAATAAACCGTCAGCATGAGGAGGGGCAGTTTCTTCAAGTGATTTGTCTGTTTCTTGGTTATTGATTCTAAACCTAGAATTTCTGGTTCCTGATTTAGCCTCTAACAACAGATTCAATACCATGGTTGGTTGGTTGGTTGGTTGGTTGGTTGGTTGGTTGGTTGGTTGGTTGGTTGGTTGGTTGGTTGGGACAAGATCTCACTCTTTAGCCCGGGCTGTCCTCTTTATAGAGATTCACCGTCTCTGCCTCCCAGTACTGGGATTAAAGAAGTACACCACCATGCCCAGCTCACAACCACGTTTTAAAGCAAATGAGTAGATTCCATCTTTCCAAAAAAAAAAAACAGTCAACAGTGTGTACTAATTGCAAGGAAACTAAAGCCTAAAGTATCCTTTCCAAGCCGGTATTTACGAATTGGAACAGTTGCGCCGTAAATTTAAAACTGTAACACAGTAGGAGAAGATGTTTTAAAAGAATCTCAAGAAACTGCTTTCCGAAGATCAGATTTCTAAAGGGAAGCCAAGCTCTTCCAAACAAGGGTGGTCCCACAGGACTGCTTCACACAGAATGAGTAAGAAAAGACGCCTACTGTTAGGCTGCCAGCAAGGCTCAGTGTTGCAAAGCAGGTACAAGGTTTAAAGGAACGCCAAGAAAAGCACGAGGGAGGGGAGAGGAGGAAGGAGTGTCGCCTGGGGAAGGGAGAAGAAAGTATTTTAGTAGATGCTCAGAAGTCTCCTGAGCACAGTGCTCTAGGGAAGTATCTGAGATTCCTTCTCATCTGCGTCCCCAGGGAGGAGCTGCTGCACTCTGGGACTTAGCAGGAACAAAAGTCACCAGCTCGGTGTCCGGGCCTCGCTCTCCACAATTGGATAGAGAGGGTCCCAAGCCCGGGAAGCAGATCGGAACTGGGGACACAAACCCAGGAATCCCTCCATCAATCTCCGTAGTCCTCCCCGACTCACCGAAGCCAAGAAGGCACATCAGCAACAGCACCACGAGCCGGTGCGCCAGGTGGCTGGGGTCGCAGAGCGCGGGCAGAGCGCGCCGGGCGCCCCGGACTGAGCTGTCCCCCTCGGGGAGGTTCCCAAGCAGCGCCCGCGCCTCCTCATCCTCCTCCTGCTCCATCGGCCTGAAGCTCGGAACCGAGCAGGAAGCAAAGGCAGGGCTGCAGAGACACGGCGGGCGCTCACGTGACCGCGCGCACTCACGTAACTCCCGCAGGTCACGCACCTCCCTGCTCACGTGAACGGCGGTTCACGTGGTAGCGGGCTTTTTGTAAGCTGCGGATGTGAAAAGGGTAAGGTGGACTGGGTGGGGTCGTTCCTGTCCCCTTCCTGTTAGCGCCTGATTAGAGACCAAGAGGTGTGCCTGTGCAGAACTCCTAGTGGATGGCCCGACTTGAGCAGCTAGGGATCCCAAAATGCAGCGTCCTTCTCACAGCTGAGCCCTCCTCTCCCTCTCTTCGCCATCTCTTTAAGCTCCCAGACCTTTTGGTGACACCGGCACTTATGGAATGGGAAGGGAACAACAAGTCCTTTCACCTCGAGAGTACGGGTGAGAGAATTTACTTAGAGAGACGGACTGAAACTAACAACGTGGAGGGTGGCTGGCTGAGTGACTGCAGCGGGATGGGCATTCCTCACAAATGTCTAATGCGGGCTTTAATCGTTTATATTGATCTTCGAGTAAGAGAAGGAAATCGAGAGTAGAAATATGCGACCTTCTAGAGATGGCCAGCAGAGTATCAAAACCACTAGGTTTGTTTTAAGAAATTCGATTTGGCAGCATAGCCCTCTACCCAACTTTTCTAGGTGTCCCAGTGAGCACATACATTCGATTTGGCAGCATAGCCCTCTACCCAACTTTTCTAGGTGTCCCAAGTCTTTGCCAGTAGAATCTGGAGTGTAACAAGGTTAGGTGCTGCATAGTTATGAAGCATGCAATGGAAGTGGCAGTGAGAGACTCCAAGCCTGGCCCTAAAGAGCCCACGGGTATGACACAAAGGAGAGTTTCAATGACTGCCTACAAAGTAAAGTAGGGACAAGGGCGTGTCTAAACAATAGCGTATGAGATCTGAAAGGAGAGAAGGAATTTCGAGTGTCTCCCAGATTTCTAGGTTGGGCCCTCCAAAGAGATCCAAATAGAGAGGAGGGGAAGTAGAAAGGCAGTGTGAGAGGAGAGATGGGGTTTGGAATGTTTACATAGAACCTGCTTTCTACCTCCCATTCCCCGGACTGACAACTCCAGCACAGCTTAGGTTTATTCCTTCACTAAATGCCAGCTGTACTGGAGTGAAGAGCCTAGACCATCATTTTACATTTGTTGACTCTGCCTTGTGCTGGATAGTTTTATGTCAACTGGACACAAGTCACCTGAGGAGGGAACCTCAATTAAGTAAAAGTTCCCATGCCCCCATCAGCTCTTGAAAGCAGAGCTGGGCCTGCCCTGCACCAGCTGCAGCACTCAGGAGAGTGGGCCTGGCACCTTGTCTGAGCAGCACAGTAGAGCTGACCCTGATGGTGCTGTACGGGTGAGCTGCCCGCCCCCAGGGCATGAGAACAGGAGAACTGACCCTTCCCTTGCAGCCTGTTGCATCAGGTGAGCTAGCAGGGGCATCACCCTAGTGATGATGATGAAAGCTGGCAGGCTGACCAACCCAGCAACCACCAGGCCCAGAACCAGGGCTGTGAGTTAGCCCACCCCAGCATCCACTCCATCTGTGATCTGCTGGAGCACATGAAGGGGCTGGTCCTGCAGATCCAAAGCTGCAGAAGCTCCGTGACACCGGGGCAACAACAGGATAACAAAGGGGAGTCCCAGGAAGCACAGTACTAATCGTGTAACAAAAGCCAGAGGCATTGAGCCAGACCAATGATTGCAATGAACACTTAGGAAGTAAAGATGTATGTGCTCACTGGGCCACACTACAGCTTTCTTGACAAAATTTTATTTTGCAGCATAGAGGGTATTGTTCCTTTGTTACTAGACCTTTCCAAGTATTGCCAGCGGACAGATAAATGGGAGAAATTACCATATATTCAAGCTTTCTTCTACCTCTCTGCTAAACAATCTCTTTCCTTAAACTTGTCTATTTCCCTCCTCTTCCCAGCATGCTAAAACTCTCCTGCCTGCTGCAGCTGCCTGTCCCAGGGTGGAAACCTCCCTCCGCATAAAAATGTCCTGTTCTGCTAGGCATCTTATGTTCCTGTTTGTCTTATCTCTGCTACGCTTCTACCATGCTTCTTTTCTGAACAGATAGATACCAGTGGCTATATCTCAAAACTTTCTAACTTCTGCCAGTGGTCAGGAACATGTTTATGGCAGCTGCCATCTTGACCACATGACCTAGCCTCACCCATGTGGTTCTTCCCTGTAATGCACCAGCCGCCTGGGCAGAGGGACAGTTTAGCCAGCTTCTTCCACTTTTTTGCCTTTTATTCTTAGTCTCTAATTTCTTCTTTTACTGACTCTATTGTGCATGACTTGTTTGTGAAATGGCGTGCCTCTCTAGGACCCAGTAGGGCACACATTTCACTCAAAAATCTTGCCTGTTCCATCTACATCAGATCTCTTTTCTTGTCACTGACAGCTTTAAAGCTTCCCTATATCTTTAAATGGCCTGCTACAATGTACATAGATCATACTCTGTTTCTTTCTTATTTTTGCCCAGTCCTATTTGAAATATTTGTGTATATCTGTACATGTGATTTAAATTTAACTTTATATGTGAATGTAAGCTAACTTTATATACAACATAAATCCAACTGTACTGTCTCAATTATTTCTAAATTTTCATGTATCATTAAATGATGGTAAACATTTAAGGTTATAACAGTCTATTTCAAATTAACAAAATATTTATGCTACCCGTCCTTCCTCTTAGCTGTTTATAAAGGTCAAGATTCTTTTACCAAAGGAAAATTTTCTCTACTTCTTTGTCCTTTACTGGTATAAATCTAACATACTAAGTTAAAAACCAGTTACAGTCAGGCTGGAGGGCTCTGAGTAAAACATCCCTCCACAGCCTCTCAGCTTGGATCCAGTTTTCCAGACAGATTAATTAATTACAGGGATAAAAGGCCTTACCTAGCCACCTATGTGCTGAAGGCAAGTAACTAAAGGCAAATTTTGTCTGCTGAGGTATGTTTAGTACACCTCAAATGCTCAGAGACCTAGAGAATATGGCATTTAAAATGTTTCATTAAAAAGCTTTTATAGTAGAAAGACAAGCCAGCTGCTGGCACCACCCATTTCCTCCAAGAAGACTGGTGGACACTGAAGAAACTCCACCCACAAAAGTGGCACTGAGCCACTGAGCAACCCTGCCTTTCAACTCAACTGCTGCAAAGGGCTCTAAGGACTATGGACAAGAGGGCAATGGAATTTACTTTCTCCACATTGCTTGGGCCAAGGGTAAGTAAGTCTTCCAAAAGCTCCTAATCCACAGGTCTTGTGCCATCAGCAGAAGGCAGACATCCTTAAAGCCTCTGACCTCAACAACTATGGAGGACCTGGGGGCGGGGGTGGGGGGTGGCTCTCCATGCTGCCGGCTAGTGAGTCTCTGTTACACTCTAATTCTTAATTCTGGTAAAATTTTATCCTTCTCAAGAACTGATGCTTTTGACAACTGGTAGCTTTGTCGGCTTAAAGCAGCAGCCAAAGCTCCAACTGTCACGAAACAGATTTCAGGAAGGGGTGTTTTAAGGTTTATCTATGTGAAGATAGGAAAATGTAAGGTGTATGAAGGTCTGAGAGTGGGAAGGTCTAACAAGGTGGATAAATGCAAGTTATGAAGGTCTGAGGTTGGAAAGGTCTAAGATGATTAAATAAGGTATATGAATTCAAGTTATGAAGGTCTGAACAGAAAAAAAAGGCCTAAGTGATGACAGAAAAGTTATTTGAGACATTCAAATGAATGAAACATGTTCCAGATTTCTCTCTCTCTCATTATGCTACTATCCATAATCTTAACATTAATCAATAAAGTTTCAATGAGCTACTAATCCAATTCTGACAGAGTACTAAACACCATAGTAAACCACTATACGATCATAAATTAAGGTGCTTTTCATTGTGCTAAAAATATGTCAGTTTCAAAAGTGTTAGTTCTTTCAACCAAGTCATTTCTGACATGAATATGCTGCTAATGTGCCTAATATTTATGTTTTCACAAACTCAAAGGATTCTTGAAAGTTCCACGGAGCCGAATTTGTCCCACCCAAACAGGTCAGATTCACTCCAAATAAATATTACTCGACCTTTTCCTGATCCCAGGATTTCCTTCCCTTATCTTGGGACCCCTCAGGAGCCTCTCCCCCATCTTACAATTCTCCCCTTAAGTACCAAGAAAGACCTAAGAAAAAAAGTTTTTTCCTACATTTAACATTTTGCCAGGTCTCAAAGAGACACCAGAGTTCCATATACATCCTGGACTGCAAAGAAACAACAGCAACCCCAGGATGTGGCAGCACCCCAGCTTTCTCAGGCCCCCTCAAGACAGCAGGAAGCAGTCTTGAAAACTCCGCATCCTTATTTCCTAACCTGCCATGCCTAACTCCCCACCTTTTTAATAGTAATAAGAGGTGAGAATGTTGGAAACTGGCATTCTGCTGACCACGTATGGCCATGTCATCACTATGTCACTCATTAAGGACTCAGTACAAGTGCAAGTCCCCCCGCCTTTTTTTAAACAAAAAGCAGTGGACATTTATTCTTCATTGTTTTGTTTTGTTTGTGCAAGAGTGTAAAGATGCATTTCATAGAACCCAACGACTAGAGAGCATCAGCCATGGCCTGACTTACTGTTAAGTTAGAAAAAGGGATGAGGGGAGGTAACTTGCCTAGTTCACATGAATGTTTCTGGGTAACTTCAAAGACTTCAAAAAGCCACATACAGTACAATTTAAAACCAATGAACATTCTGCAAATGTTAGTGCAAAGTAATTATGTAGACTCTCTAATACAAGATTGTGCTCATGTTTTCCAGGTTTGGTCAGTTATTCTTTTATAAGTACAATCACAGAGGCTTAACTTATCAAACAGCAGCACCTTTGTGTTCTATGTCCTATGTACCAAGATAACCTCACAAGGTTTTGGTGAAATGCTGATCAGTT